CCCCAAAACCCCAAAACCCCTTCTGGATATTAAAAACCAATAGTAATTTTATATTTTAAAAAAGAAAATAAAGAAACATAAAATTCTTAATTCTAAAATTATGAGTCTTATTAAACCACTTATTTTTAATAAAATATGTTACCCCCTAAAGGCAAAAACAATTCACGAATTTTATTCAGAGAGAGTCCTTCCCCAAAACTCAACAATTTTTAAAGGCTTGATTCAATAGATAGTAACAAGTAAGATTTAAATCCATCTAGGACTATCACTGCATTTGCTCTAAGAGAATCAAGTCAAAATATGCCAACTTTTGATAAAGGTTCTACTCCTATGTCAGTAAAAAATGGTCCAACACCCTATCTCGGTTAAAATATAACTACTTCAGGATCTAAAAAAGGCCTAAATCATACTTTCAGTTCATTAAACGAAAAGCAAATTGGCTTGCTGAACAAAGATTTGAGGCTCGATACAAGAAGTGAAAGTACATTCAAAGAAATAAATCAAGAAAAAAGCAAGGGCCACTATGGACTTAACGGAATAACTATTCAAAATCTTGGATAAACGTTAAAGGATTTTCGAGAAACTACAAGAGAATATAAAAAGTAAGTATTAAAATAATAATAATTATCTAGGATTCTGAAAGTTTAGAAAGTTTAGCAAATGGAAAAAGATAAACTAAGGTAAGGAATAGTAAGAGAAAAGGAAAAAGCAAAAGTGAAAGTTGATAGAGTTGAAAGCGATATGAATAAAATGAAGAGAATCAATTAAGTTCTAATAGCATCAAATGATATAAAAGAGAGAATCATTGCTGATTTGAAACAAGAACTTATTCTGAAACAAAGAGATGCAGAGGATTATAAGTTAAAATTTGATAAGAAAAAAAGGGAATTAGATTGGTACAAGAAAAGTTTAGGAGCATTTTATTCACAACTGTTTAAAAGGAAATATAGAGAATTCAAATATTCATCTTTGCTAGATCATAAGAAAAAGATAGAGGCTATGAGAAATTTAGATTTTAATATGATGTTTGACAAAATGTTCCCAACTTCAACAGGTCAAACAAGCCAGGACCTTTCAATGGCCATGATTCAGGATACTAAGGAGATTATTTAAAAACCTTATATTAACTAATCAGCTATAAAAGAATAAGATGAGGATTAAAATAACTCTTAGTTATATGCAAGTAAAAATTTAGATAATGAGAAAGACAGATTAGCTACTGATTAGGATGAGTTCAAAATTGACGATGATGATGTCATTTCCCAGCATGATATTCTTGCCATATAAAATGAAAGATTAATGAAAACTCATTCAATGATTAGAAAAGACACTGGGGATACTTTAACTGTAAGTAATTTAAGGCATTAAATAAGTGATAAGGGCAATAAATTTAACACAAGCATCAATTTTAGGCTTAGTATTGCTAAGATGTAATCTAGTAATAATAATAATGTTAATGATAATGAATAAAATATTCCTGATGGGAATGTTATTAGACAAGCCTCTATAATATCTATTAAAAATAAAAATATGAGATAGCATTCTTCTCGATCAGCAAGGTCTAATAAAATGGGAGTGTCGTCTGAAAAAGGTAATATGCTTTTGATGGCTCGAGATTAGTTTAAATAATATCTTAATCAGAAGAAATTCAATACTGATGATAAGCTTTAGAATTTAATGAACTATTTCAATGAGCTTAAATATGCATTATACCTTTTGATATCATTTAGAGATTTAATAGGTTATGTACTTTAGCTTCAGTAATTAAAAACCATAGATGAATGGATAAAATCAATGAGTTTAAATCTTCATAAATACTGTGACAGCACTTAGACCTTTGTATTTAAAGTTAAGAATCATTTCAAAAAGAATATTTCAGACCTTTAATTTGAAAGTGAGACATTATACTAAAAGAGATTTGTATTGCCATTCAATCATTCTGGGCTAATAAAAAGAGCTATCAAGTAATAAGAGTATGTTTAAGAGGCTTATATTGATCCCACTACGTAATTTTACTCTTTAATGAAAGAAAAAGCGAATTGTCAAATGCAAAATGCAACAGCTATTCCAATATATGTTTAGGATCAACTTTAAAAGAAAAAAGCCTATTAAAGAGATAGGTATCCAGTCTATATAGTTTTACTCTGTAATAAGAAACATATTGAATAGATAGGAACACTTTCTACTGATGAAGTGAAGATGGCTAACATAGCTTGTGAGTCTTTAGCTGCTCATGTAGAATACATAAGAGATCTTGAGGGAAAAAGTTATGCTGAAATGAAGTTAAGAGATATGATAAATATCTAACAAGTTATTTTAAAAATAGATAGGAAAGAGGACCTATATGATTACTTTTGTGGGGTAGCTATTAAGGAGTTATTCCCTATATACTTTGTTGATTTTGTGATGTATATAATTGATAGAAAGATATAGGATGGAGTTTAAACAAATTTATTGAAAAGAATTTGTAATTTTGATTTAAGTTAAAGAGAAGGACGATTTAAAGAAATTGCAAAATTCTCATAATTGAGTCCGACAGATATTTAGAATCACTTAACCTTTAAAATCGATGGAATAGTAGGAGAGGCAATTAAGAGAAACTAAGATTTAATTATTCATCATAGTGAGTTGATTGTCTAGAATAATACATTAATTGATCTGGAAATGCTAAAAGAATATACTTTAGTGACAAAGCTAATAAAAATTAATTTTAAAAAGGGATTAGAAAATAATGATTATTTAAACCCTCAGAGTTATGCTAAGAGTTAATTTCACAGGAGAAATGCAAGCCAATCATAGAATGATATTTTGGCAATATTTCAATACAGGATTAGTGAGCAGAATTATAAAAGTTTTAAAGAAAAGGCTATTAATAAGGAGATTTTTGAAAACTTATGCAATTATTTCTCAACAAAGCTTACTTAATTTTAATTGTGATTATTTTGATTGTCATAAATGATCATTAGTTACCTTAGTGGGGTTTTGGGGTTTTGGGGTTTTGGGG